AAGATTGACACAAAACTTGTTAAAAGATATATTCACGTGTGCTATCAACATCTGCCAGCTTTAAATGACAAAATAACAAAACAAATAACAAAAACAAATTATAATTTATAATTACAATAGAAAAAAAATTTGTATGTACTATCATCTGCCAGCTCTGAAAAAGTATTCTCCGCAATTGGAAGTATTGTTGGTTCAAGATGGACGTGTATTAGTACTGAAGAATGTAAACTTCTAATTGAAAATAATTATTTCGTCAGTATTTATCCGATACTTTGAGTAATTTATGTTCCTGTGACAAATGTAATTTACGTTCACTAAAATGCTAGAGAATTCGAGAAAAGGATATGCAAGATTGGTACAAAATTTGCTAAAAAAAAAAATATTTGCGTATCAATATTTGCCAGCTCTAAACGAGCATTTTGCATAATTGGAAACATTATTGATTCAAGATGAACGAAAACGTAGACTTCCAATTTAAAATCTAGTTACTTCGTTGTTTTATTATTCATGGCTGAAACATAAATGACATTGTGAGCAACGTGAGTAGAAATGATAAATACTACAGCTCTCAACTCTCGACAGTTCCAGTAATCGAACGAAGAGTTTGGACGCCATTGGAGTCGCCAACGTTCGTCCTTTTCCTCCCCCCCCTTCTCCGTTCGTTTTCTTTCCGTCGCTTCCTTGCGTCGAATCGCAGAACTCGCGTGCTCCGCGATAGTTTACCTGTGTTTTCCCCGGTAATAGCCCGGTAAAGCAAAAGGAGCTGGCCCGGAGAGAATAATCGATCGTTTCCACGAAACTCGCGCGATGATGATCGCGCACGAGGTACATTGTATCCGCGATACGGAAATCTAAAGTGACAAGTTGGACAATCGGTGTGAGTCACGACCGTGTGTCCTTTCTCATCGTGAACGGGATCCGATGTGGTCGAAGCATGATCGAAGCGTCTTGGATTCCCGAGCTCCAGCCTCCCGAGATCCTCTATTTTCTTTATAAGATCCGAACGATCTTTGAACGATCGTTGCGATGCAATTTCTTGCCGCGAACGTGAAGAAACTAGCTCGGATCGATATCGAGGAAGAAACGGTACGTTTATTAGCATGTTTTCTTCCGCCGCGAGCTGGGTGTTCGTCTGAAAATTTTGACTCATCCGTTCCGACAACAATACAATAGCGGGCGCCGATCGTTTTCTATCGTATCGTTTGTGTACAGTTAGGCCGCCGGCACCGATGTCGATCCGTTAGAGGAAAGAAAGCAGCGTTTCATGGGGATCGTTGAAGCGTTAACGGGATGGTAACTCACGGCTGACGGTGTAATTAGTTCCAATCGGTAATTCAAGCGCAACCTCTCTCTCTCTCTCTCTCTCTCTTTCTCTCCGTGGCACGGACATTAACACGAGGATACGCCGGTGATTTTTCGAACGTTGAAAAATCGATTTCTGCGTTTATACAGGGTGTCCAAAAAGGTTGGGACCAAACTTAGACTACGTGTTACTGAGGTCAAATAGATGAGAAAAGTTCGTGTAAACTTATGCCCGAAAATGCTTCATTGAAAAGATACAAGCGTTCGAAGATTTATGGAATCAGAATCTCTTTGCAAGAAATTTGACAGACATTGAATCGACAATCCGCGCAGTTGGGAAAAATGAAAGTAAAGTAAGAGGCAGAGCTTCTGCTGGAGCGTCATCAAGTTTCAAGAAATCCTCCCCGTACGAAAGATCTTTTATTGACAAAAGCAGAAAATTGCTCAGTTATATGGATAGAAGGTTATATGCAACAAGGAAGAACATTCCTTTGAATACTTGTTTAACCTCTTGCGCTGAAATGACGCGCCATGCACTTTTTTGCCCCGAATTGCAACATATTCAGTTTTAATCATATTTAATTATAACCAAGGCAAAACAAATGATAAGTTTATTACTTCTTGATCATTTCAATCCGGTGATATCGTACCGACGAGTTCGAAAGAAAAAGAAACCGACGAATTATTGTTTTATGGCTCGGTCACTCGTTATGGTCCGCGAACCAGTTGCCAGCGCCCGAGGTTAATCAGACAGAGAGCACAAAATTTTTTTTTTTTTTCGTATTAAAAACCGACTATTTATTTAGTTATAGTTTTTTTTTTTAGCTCTTATATCAATATGTGTATGTTACCAATTTATATCACCCTGGCAATTGTCACTTCAGCAATGCAGAATCGTGTGGTTTGTTTCATTTTTCTCGCGCAGGTAAACGGAGGAAGGACAATGTTGTCGTACATGCTACCGACCGAGGACAAACCACCGCCGGGAGACTCGAATCAGGCGAATTACGGTGCTAGTAAGTTGCAAAAGAGTCCCAGGGAACGTCCTCCGATCGGTTCGAAACCAGCGGGCAAAGTGGTTGCCGTCTCTCCGAAGAAGTCCGTCGACACGGCCAAAACCGCCATGATCGTTTCGACGAAGCTCGAGGAGCACGGAGGTGGCGATCAGCAGCAACAGCAACAACAGCAGCAGCAGCAGCAGCAACAACAACACGGGCATCACGGACTGCCGGCTGAGAGTCCGAAACACAATGGCACTGTGGTGAAAAAGTCGACGTTGCACACGTCCAAGGTCACCAAAGATGACAGCCTGTACAGCATAAACAGCGACGCCAGTACGGTCGGCAGCGATCGGAAGAACAAAATTTTCAACGGAACAAAGCACACTAGTCTGAAGAGGTAAGAGCGAACTCCACGAATTTTCCTATCTGTGTGTATGTGTGTGTATGTGTGTGTGTACGTATTGAGGCTAGAGACAGAGGTACGGGTTCAAGGGTCGTACGGGATCACCTTTCTAAATTGGTTCACTCATCGGTTCTTTAACCTCCTTCCTCCGCTGTGTTAAATCAACAGGAGAGACGTATCTGCGACTTTCGCTTAAATCGAGTCGTCGATGTGCCAAGTAGCGCGAAAACAGTTTATTTATACGTACATTGTGAAAAAAAAAAAAAAAAACAGAGCCTTAACCCGGGATTACCCACCTGGGGGTCTAGTGCAGGTACATCCCGGCGACTAGACCTTCACGTGGGTAATCCCGGGTTAA